CGCGTCATCCCTTGTTAGTTCTTCGCTGTACTTACTCCTAGGCAGCGAGTTCGTCGCCGTCCTCGTCACCATCCTTTCCATCTGCTCCATCCTTTCTTCGATTCGTCGATTGACTGATTCTGATTGACTGATTGATTGATTGATCTAATTGAGTCCTACTCGTTTTCAGCCGCTTCAAGTCTGCGGCTATGCCCGGATGAGAGGGCTTGGCTGACTGCGTTCTAGACCCCAACGCTTATGCGATGAACGCTATCTTCTGATCGAAGCTGCAGCGTTCTCAGTCTAGCATGGCATGTATTAAAGTCGAGCTTTATGCAATGGAATGTTGTTTTTCATGGATTTGGGACAAGGTGTCTGGTACACCTCGCCTTCTCCTCTCTCATCCAAGCCATGATCTTATCCAGTGCGAACAAATCGTGCTCTTTTCTAGACACATCGTATTCATCTTCTATCCATCCAGGTGTCCCAGCTGACAGCAGCAGTCCGCCAAACTCCTTACACGACCCCCAATCGATAATAATTGGATCATCAATACTACTACTTTCTTGACAACGCCAATCGCAACCCCCCTGGCATCTGTTTTGTTCTATAGGGGATTGACTCGATACGGGCGTGTGGGAAAGAAGCAGTGTTTCCGAAGTACGTCCATTAAACGTCAGCCTGTAAGCTGCGATTCTTACTTTTATACCACCATCAAGGTAGAAGCATTTACTTCCCGACATGAAAACCATTGTTCATAATCTCGAACGTTTCGGTAATGAATCGCAAGCTCTTGTTCGTGCTGTTCGTAGCGGTGAGGTGAGCTCATTCCGTCCTATTTCGGAGATACTATGCATACAAAAAACCGTTTCCAGTGCAGCAATGATAAACTCATTCTTTAAGTCCGCGTATTCAGGTGATGTGCTATAAAGTTGCCTCGAACGGAAGGCTGGAGTCATCTTGGTCATCCGGAAATAGTACAAGACCTTTGTTTCATCTACGAGAAGGTACTAGAGGCCAAGTCGAATATCGAATATCGTTAACACCTGTGCTAGTCCGACTCCTGCTCGGAAGTGCTCCGTTGCCGAGTAAGAGGTCCAGTGACACTGCGAAGCACGCCGCAGACGTTTTGAGAACCAACAGAGCCCGGCACTCCTCTGCCACTTGCAGAGGGCGTCTGAGATCCAATGAATAGGTCTACGCCGCTCCAACCTGCGGCCTGACACCCGACGCACCATCGCCCACAACTCATTTCCACCCCAACAACGTCGCGGCTGAGCCGGCTCGACACCCCCATTGCAGCTGGCATCTGCGCAGGTGTCGTGGACCGCAGGCGGCACAACGACGCCTCCACGCACGCGATTGGCGGCCTCTGTTTCATCTCCATCTCCTCTGCGCGGTGACATATGTCGCGGTCGACTTCTCGTCGCCTCCCGGGGACAAAGCCAACGTCCAGAGGGCGGTCGGCAAGGACAGGCGATGAGGAGGCCGCCGGCGACGATGGACAGGTGATGGGTGACGGCGTCGTTACGACCGAGACAAGCGCGTGAATGATGACCAATTGATGAGCCAAAACGGTAAGAATAATTGAGAAGAGGAGCCGAGTAAAATTCATTAGAGTTTTAATTCCCGCTTCTGTACTGCTGCCTTAGGGTTTTGCCGCAAAACACTCCGCCCCTGCACCGCCCCACTCTTGGATTACATTAAAGAACCCTCTCCCAGCGCAGTGCTTTAGCCTTTCACCTCCTTTCGCCGCCGAAGAAATCTGCATACCACAAAAACATGGCACAGTATTACACGTATCTAACATCTTCTCGATGCTTGCGATGCTAAGATACTGCAGGTCATACCAAGAAGTCAACCTGTGGCGTCTTCCTCTCGACCATCGTTACACATACAACGATGCAATTACCGAAATACTCATTCTCGCGCCGAGTCATGGAGACTGCCGCGAGGGATATCAGTCCGAACGCTCAGACTTCCTGGACGGATATCGACAATTGCTTAGCGGCCTAGCGACGACATTCCCCAATACAAGAAAGATAACACTGCAGACCTTGGTTCCTGAGATTTACAATTTGCCGTTCACTGTACCACCCTTCGGCGTGCGCGAAGTAGTAAAGCAAGAGTGCGATAAACTCGGCGCGGAATTTGCGGATTCATGTGGGCCCGCAACAAAGGAAGATGCAGGCCTGAAAGACTCTAGTCTTCACCGTACTAACGTGAGAGAGACCATTTTGACGGGCCGACCGCTGGGACTTCTGTGGCACAATGCAGTTGTATCCTGAAAAATTTTAAAAGGTGCTTGTGGGACATATAGTAGCGATTGGGTATTGATCTTCTACGGGATGCGATTCTATCTCGAAAAATCTATACGTAGCTTCGAGGCTAGAGGTAAAGGCGCGTTTCGATCTTTTAGAGAAATAATTAGTACACCTCTTAGCCTATATCGAGCTGGCTATCCTAGGTACAAATAAAGTGTATCTAGTCGCTCGTTGTACAAAATACGTTCAAAGTTGACGCTCAAAAGTACAGACTCGCTTCTTCAGATAGCCACGCAAAGCTTAGTAAGGAATCGCGACTTGCCACCGCTGAAGACGGCATATACTGTTCTTTCCTCTATCTACTACTATCCAATCGCTATTCTATCTCGAAAAAACGCTCTTATACTATAGGGTTAGGCCTAGAAATTTCGCGATTTTCACAGTTTTCGGGGCTGTCCCCAGGGACAGCCCAACTTTCGCATCTGGAGCAGTTCCTGGGCTGTCCCCAGGTACAGCCCGACTTTCGTAGCTAGAGCAGTTCCAGAGCTGTCCCCAGGGACAGGAAGACTTTCGTGGCTCGAGGTGCTGTCCCTAGGGACAAGGATCGTCGAGGTAATGAGGCTATATCGAAGAAGTAAGACGAAATATGATTCTGATGTAGTTACAGTATAGAGAAGTCAATGTAAGTGATAACTTCTAGTAGTTTAAGTAACCACCCTCTCTACCCAAGCAAGCACCTTAGTAGCCTCCAGTTCGCTAACATGAATAGCACGGGATCTAGAGTGTGGTGCTGAACGAGTTGTGCGGTCGTGAGCATGCTAGTGTTCCTGCTCGATAGAACCTTGCGTTGTATCTCCATCGAATCATCAATTCCGCCTTTGTGCAGCTTGATCGATTTGTCGATGTGGGAAAGGAGATCCGTGATCGTCTTGCAGAAGACTTTCCGGAGCCGTATGTTCCAGATGAGTTCCATTGGATCCCATCACATCCTACCAAAGAGGTTTTCCCTTGAACGAAGAAAGAGGGCTGGTGAATGTGCTATTCCATCGTAGCTGCAGAAGAGGAACAGGAAACAGAGACCGGACGTTGAATGCGGGGCCGAAGACATGCGACGCCAGGAGCCCACGACAGAGTAGTACTCTTCAGATAGGCAGCCACGGAAACGCGCACATATGGTGGGTCGACATCTGATAGCTCTAAAGGCAAATGAGTTTCCCCTTCCCTGATCGGGCATCAGACCCCACATCCTGTTAAGGGGGATCGGGTCTATCATCAATACTTGGGCCTTCGTTAGCTCGTTGATTCATTGTTCCGAAGTTCATGTTGTAAAAGTTTACAGCGATACCGGTAGTGAAGACGAGCGAATAGCAGCCCTCGGTGTAGTATTCCTGTAGTATTCCGGCGGTCGAGGGATACTCGGGACAAAAGTTGATTATGGAGGATGGAACGGACGAGGGTCTGGGCTGAACAGCTGAAGTTATATAGTTTGGTCCAGATGAAACATGGAGTCACCCCGAACTATACATTTTAGCCCGGGCAGGACAACGGTCAGGGAGCAGTCTACCTCGTCCGGAGCGTATCTCTCCTGCAACAAAGTCGCGTTGGCCATAAGTAACAGTCTGAGGGACGAACGGGTGAGGAGCGCTTTAGATGAACTAGAGAGCGCGAGGCTGAGATATACGGGTCGAGCTGGACCCTTGTGACAGATGTTGGCTCGAGTGAGACCGGTAGGCGCCGGATACGATATCCTCGGGTATAGAGGAAGCAAAGTGCGGAGACAGAGGGATCTACGATAAGAAGTGTTCGCAGATATGTGTGCACGAGAGAACAAGATGCCTCTCCCACAGGCGTGTGGAACCGGAGTACAGCAGCGACAGTAGAAAGCTTTGAACATGACAAAACGATTGCGAGTGCAAGGAACACTATACAGAGTCAGGTCTCGACTCGTGTGCGCAGAGGACGGGATTGCGTATCAGCCTGTCGCAAAAGGTGTAGCTAGGCACATGGTCGTCGCTCTATCGGAACCGGACGAGCTCGGCGTCGTGAAGATTGCGACGGTGCAGTACAGCTGTGTAAGGGCGGATGGTGTAAGACGAATTGCTAACATATCAGGTAGATTACGTCCAACCCGTGCGGCGGGTTCGACTACTATCCCATCGCGCCTTGTGCGAAGGGAGGGTACCCTTTCCAGCTTCAGTTACGGCATTACAATAACCAGTTCTACGGAGGGCCTCGCGCGCTACACCTCTACTCCTACGTAAGAGCAGAGCAGCACCAGGTGTCGGCGCAGATGCTAGTAGCAGTGGAAGGGGACTTTGGCGAGCCCATTCAGTTGAAGAAGCGATCAGCAGCGAGGCTTCGATCTGCGATGCAAATTAACTAAACTCGATAGCTTACTTCCTCTCGCAAATCCCTAGCGATAGTTCGAGCTGTTGTCAGTCTATGTCGGAAAAACAGTCTTAAGGCCTTGGGTTAGGGTTGAAACTTGTCCCCAGGGACAAAGATAACTGGCCGCAGAAGGCTGTCCCCAAG